AACCAAGATGCATTATGTAAAGGTACAATTCCCAATGAGAAATGTAATTGTGTTGTATACCTAAAATGTACCAATAAAAGAATTTAATTAAAAAAAAGTTGTGCTTACTTCAGTAGCACATATACTAAAATTGGAATGATAAAAAGCTTAGCATATGGGAACAGACACGAACATCCCTTGTGATTGCTAAGTGTACTTATGATGGTACTTCCAATGTTAACCTACTGGTTATAAAACATGTAACAGATTAATAACTTCCCTCTGTGCATTATATATCTGTCTTTAAGTACTATTTCTGATTCTACCAATATAGGAATTAAGATTTAGAGTGTTTATGCTTCTTGCCACAGGTTACAGAAACCATGCTTGGTTACTTTCTATTTTGAATTTCACATGAGATTAGAGGCCTTCTTATGCTTACATTTCAGGAAGGCTTGCCAGCATTCTGGGTAGGAGTATTTCAACACACCCAAAGTGAACTGGTATGTTGGTTTTCATTTACAGATAGTTTTTATTTTTTTGTTTCTCTTTTTCCGTATTTGACATGGTCTACAATGAATACATTACTTTCCTAACTACACAGTGACAATACTTTTAATAATCAATATTCTTACCATGAACTTCTGACTTAGCCGATATTCCATAGTGAATACTTCCTGCAAGGTCTTCGAGGCCCCCTCCGTGAGTTGCCTTAGTGTGATCTTTAAGGATGTTGGAGACATTTTATTAATCACCTTTGGGGAAAAAAGTACTAGTTATAGATCAACAGCTCCCTTATTATTTATAATAAACTAACTGAATTTCTATGTAAATTATTAAAATATGGCACTTAGAGGTTCCTTCATATGCCAAAATCTCATGAAAGATCGGTGAAAGATTTGGTGCCAAAGCACCAAACAAAATTTTTCTAGTCTGTCACAAACAAATTCTTTACCTACAACTTTATATATCTACATTTGGAGCTCAATTAGCTAAGCAGTGCCACTCATATCCACAGAGGACACTTTATCTTAGAACATAAGGAAGTGAAGGATGTGCGGTAGGTACCCCCATCACCAGAGAAGGGACATTCAGAAGTGAGGGCTGGGCTGTGGCCATAGCTTAGCAGCATTTGCTGAGCATGTGCAAGGCCCTGGCTTCAATCCCCAGCACTGAAAAATACTTCCTATAACTTAACAGCAAAAAGTCCCCTCAAAGCCCAACTCAGAAATGGGCAGAAGACTTGTACTGGTATTTCTCCAAAGATGTACAAATGGCTAACAAACATGTGAAAAGATGCTCAAGATCAGTAATTACTAGAAAATCCAAGCCAAAACTATGCTGAGCTATTACCTCATGACCATTAGGACAGCTACTATCAAGAAAACACAAAGCAACAAGTGCTGGCGAGGGTCTGAAGGGAATGGAACCTTCATACTCTCGGTGGGAATGTAAGAGACAGCAGCTGCAGTAGAAACACAATGACCCCTTGAGAAATGAAAAACAGAATTACCACACCATCCAGCGATTTCACTACTGGGTGTGCATCCAGAAGAATTAAAAGCATTGCCTCAGAGAGTTATCTGTACACCCACATTCATATCACATTACTGTAGAGCAACCCCAAAGCGGATGCTGCCCAAGTATCCGTAACACATGAACAGATAAGCAAAGCGTGCTATGCCTATGTGGTGAGGAATCTTTGGGCTTAGAAAGGAAGGAAATTCTGACACACGCCACAACACAGATGAACCTCGAGGACATCATGCTAAGTGAAATAAGGCAGTCACAAAGGACAAACTCTGTATGATTTTACTTATGGAGCAAGAAAAGTCAAAGTGGCCAGGGGCCACAGGGAGGGAACAGGCAGACCGTTCAGTGGGTGTTTCAGCTGTGCTGGATCAAAGCATGCAGGAAGCTGCTGCATGAAGTGAGTATACCTAATAACACTGAGCCACATGCAGTGGTCACGATGTAGTTTTACACTGTGCACACTCATACCTTACACAATTAAAAGCATAACTGTGTGAACATGAGTGCGTTATGAGGAGTCTTATTAAGGTTCTCTAATGTAAGCCACCCACCTGTCAGCCAGGGTGCTTAGCCCACTAGCTTATGGACTATTTGGCACTCTGTTCAACCTGAAAAGAGGGACTAAAATGAGGTTTGAAGCTGGGGATGGCAGTGCATGCCTGTAATCCAGCTCTCAGGAGGCTGAGGCAGGAGAACGCCCATGAATTGGAGGCCACACAGTGAGGTCAAGGACAGCCAAACTGCATAGTGAGACTGTCTCAAAAAACCAAAACTAAGAAAATAAAAGGTCTTAGGAATTCCAACCTTATGCATTAAAAAAAAAAAAAAAAAGATTCAGGGGGACTTTGAAGGAAAATCTAAGAAAATTAGAAGTCACAAAATGAAGTACTGTGAAAGTTCCAAATCCTCTGTATTTGCTATTTTTTAAATCTCATAGGCTATCTTATAGCAGCAGTAAAAATGTTTAAAACTTAAGAATTTTAAATTTATTTTCCTATTTGATAATTAGCAAATACACCAAAAAACTGTGTCAGCCCCACAGACTACCTCCTGGAGAAAGGAACTGCCCAGAAAGGGAATGTAGCTACAAGGAAAAATGCAGACACGGCCTGGCTTTGTGGGGTCTAAGGGAGGAAGAGGAGGTTCCCAAAAGCCCTTGGGGTGGGGTGAGGAGCCCCCAGAAGTCTGCAGACAGAAGTGTTCGATCATCTTTAAAATACGTTGACAAAGCTTTGAACAAGTCGCTAACAACTCTCTTTAACCTCTGAGTTAGTTTTTGGCGTATCTGTGGTTCACATAATGAAAAGGAGCCCTGTAACTAAGCTCTGTCAAGGAAGACAGTCCTCTGAGCCCCACATCACGATCTTCCCAGCAGACACTGATATTCTGGAGCCACATTCATTCACCAGAGCTGAGGTGGTCAATGACTAACGCTGAAAATCTCCCCCTCCAATGAAAGTACCATGACCCCAACTGTGAAGGGAGGCTTATCTAGGACTCTTCCGAATGTGGAATCACGTGGGAAGAAAATTCAAAGGCCACCCGGTTCCCACCCTTCAGTTTGGAGGCAGGCTAGTGGTTTTAAAACAATACTTTACAGCATACATTGTGCTGTAAAGTGACAGTGTACAGACTACAAGGTACTGTAATATGCTGCACGACTACACTCAAATGAAGTAGCTGAATGCCAACTGCAACGTAATTTAATTTGCCAAAAGTACTTCATTGGGCCTTACTGCTGGGGAAAAAAAATGGAACACTAGTTTCTATACTGCTCTACAAACAAGAGAACCAACTGAAAGTCAGAACCCTTGAAATATAAAATGATCACCCTCATTGATACCAAGCTGTTAAAAATAACAACCTACTTGTGTGAGTTAGGGAAATGTATGCCTGCTCTACCTACTCTAGGCCTATCTTGGAAAGTTAATCAAATTCTAGGAGGCAAAATAACTTGGGGTTTCCTCTTAAAAATACAGTGACAATGGGAAAATGGTTTTATTTTCACAAATATTACTTTATTAAAATTTTTTCAGTAAGTTTCTTGGGAACTGAAGTGCTGTGACTATACCTACAAACAGAAAAACAAAATACTATTGGAGAGGGACGAGATAAAACACCTTTAAGTACTATATGAAGAGATATTTTTTCTTTCTTCTGTCTAGAAATCTCCAGTATTGCTATCATAATGATATGACCGGTCTAAGAATGTCAATATCCACTGTGCATACATTTATGCCAAACCAGTGTTGTTTCAGGTCAGTGTCCCCAATTTTGAAAAACACTACTTGAGGCTAAGCTACGGTGGGGCAGTAGATGGGAGTCTCTTGCTAATTTAAATAGGACTGTTTCATTTTTCAACCTTATTTAAAAAGATCATAATGTATATTAGGCAGATATCATAAATGTAATATATCATCAGGTGACTATTATTCAATGACCCAATACTTTTAATAAAGTATGCCTGAGAGCGTCTCTCATAAAACAAGAGGGACTATTTGGAAATGAAACACGGTGTTATGGTTGAGATCTACGACATCCCTCAAAGTCAGCAACTGGTTCATGGGGGTTCCATGCTCATTAGTATTGAGGAACTCACAGCTGAGGGTGCTGTTACACCCTCCTCCCTTCTCTCTCTGCTTCCTGTCTAGCACGGGCTGAGCACCCTTCCTCTGCCATGCCATTTCTTCTTTGGACCAAAACAAAAATGGACTGAATTCTCTGAAACACTAGCCAAAAAAACCCTATAAATTATAGGTGTTGGGTATTTTGTCCCATTGACAGGAAAGTGACTAATACATATGGCTACTAAAGTCCTACTCTGTTACATTCAAAGGATACACAGCCAGCTTGACTTTGCCAACAGGGAGACCTGCCCCCAGGTTTAGGTCGAGGATTAGTGGAAATATGGTGGACCCTAATGTTATGACCAGCTTCACATATGAACAACCTGGGTTATGACCAGAATTTTAGTTTTAACTTACAACCAAAGTCTTGAGTTACAACCCCAATGCTGGCTGCTTGTGCAGTCGGTTGTAAACAAAGACTCATGATGCCAGAAAATCATATGTAAGCATACGGGTCAGTCTGAGCCCAAGTGCACGTTTGTGGACATGATTTAGGTCAGTGCTTTATATAATCACTACAATTGCCGCTATTAAAATGGCCCCAAAAAAGCTAGAAAAGAAGCTAAGGAAGGAAAGGAAGGTAAAGAAAACAATCACAACCAAAAAGAAGGAAACTGGAGAAATTAGAGTGGCATTCATGTGACTGATCTTACTAGTATGAACAGCATGTTGAAATCCACCATCTCAACAACCTTACAGTGGAGCCTTGGGTTTAGCTCAGTGGTTCTGCCGCCTGCTTCGCAAGTGCAAGATCCTGAGTTCAAACCCCGGTCCAAAAAAAAAAAAAAAAGTATCAACAATCTTACAGAGGAAAAAACTGTGCAAGGAAGCTAGTGTTGTCAAAGGTGTTACTCAAATTAGTAAGTCATGATCAACAGGGTTAGATGAGGTAAAAAGGGCTATCATTAGTGTGGATAAACAAAAAGCAGGTGGCAGGTTATAGCCTGAGTCTATAATTTGTGAAAAACCTAGGGCTATAAATGTAGATCTTGTAAAGGCTAATCTGTCAGTGAGTGATAATGGTGAAACATTTCGTCCCAGTGAGGAGTGGTTTCACAATTTTAAAATGAGAAGTGGGGTTCACTGTGTAACTAGGCATGGTGAAGCAGCTAGTGCTGATAAAAGGGCTGCTGAAAATTACATACACCACTTGGAAATGATGACACAAAGAAATGGCTTTTGCTGTCATCAAGCTTTCAACTGTGATGAAACTGGCCTTTTCTGGAAGGAAATGCCCAGGACATATAGTACCCAAGAAGAGAAGAAAATGCCAGGCCACGAGCCCATGAAAGGTAGGCTAACCCTATTGCTATGTGCCAGTACAAGTGGTAACCTCACGATAAAGCTTCTCTTATCACTGAGACCCTTAGAGTGTTCAGAAAACAAAGCCATGAAGAGTAGGCTAGGTGGAGATCTAACACAAAACCCTGGGTAACAACAGTACTTTTTTTTGAGTGGATCAGAGAGGCTTTCTGTCCCACTGTTAAGAAATACCTAGAGGACAGAGGTTTATACTGAAGGCTCTCCTCATCATGGACAATGCTCCTGCTCACCCATGAGATTTAGAAGAATTGGCTGAAGAATTCCCATGGCTCTCAGTTGAGTTTCTCCCACCTAATACAACTCCTCTACTAGAGCCGACCAGCAGGTTATAGCTAACTTTAAGAAACTATAAATCAAAAACTGTTCCTGAAGTGCTTCCAGATGGTCTCAGCTACAGATTTAACCCTTAAAGAGTTCTGGAAGGAACACATAGACATCCTTTCCTGTGTGGGGTTGAGAAATCCTGGGCCAATGTCTCTCTAAAGACACTGAGATCTACCTGGAAGAAAGTGTGGCCTAAAATTATACAGGAGAGACTTTGAAGGCTGTGTAGAGGAGCCTGAGCCTTCAATTGACCCTGTGGTTGATGTCACTGTAACTCTAGCGGAGTCCATAGGTTTACAGGTAGACAGTGGTGATGTTGAGGAACTGGTAGAGGAACACTCAGAGGAACTGTCTACAGAGGAACTTCAGCAACTTCTGGCTGAGCAACAGAAAATGGCAGCTGAGGAGATTTCTGAAGAGGAGGGGTATCAACAATCAATGCAGCAAAGTTCTTCTGAAATAAAGGAAACCCTCAAAAAATGGACAGAACAGGGCCAGGGATTTAGCTCAGTGGTTCCACCACCTGCCTCACAAGCACAAGGTCCTGAGTTCAATCCCTGATACCCCTCAACACCCCCCCCAAAAGGACCGAGCTACAAACATTTGTAAAAAAAGACCCACCCAGATAGAGAAAAAGCCAGTAACTGCATTCATTGGCTTCATGACAATGTCATATCATACTTCAGAGCAGTGTTAAAGAAAAGACAGAAATAGACAACCTTAACCAATTTTTAGTCCTGAAGCAGGTCCTAGTGGGCTACAGACTCTCCAAGGAAAAGATGCCAGAGAGCCAGATTCCTGATGTTCTTATGGAAGGGGACTCTCCTTCCAAACAATAACCACCTTCCATTTCATCTCCCTTCCTGCAAGCAAAAGATGGCAACTTGAATGGTGAGTATAGCATGAAATTGTTCCTCGTAAACTTGGCACATTTTATAACTTTTTGGTAAAAACACTAGGAAAGTTATTGGTGTTTCTGGTAAATTTTTTTTTTTTTACTATGAGGAGGTTAGTTAAGGGGTGCTTTGGGAGGTCTGGGATGCATAATGGGTATTTCCATTATTTCTTTTGAGAAAAATAGTTTTGACTTACAACCAACTTGAGTTATAACTGAGTTCGTAAGTCAAGGGTCCACTGTACTTTCAAAGGCTATGTTACCACCACAGAGCACGGAGACTCCTCACAGAGGCTTCCCTGCCCTAAGACTTCACTGCACTCAGGGCAGACAGGAGCCAAGCATTTATTACCTGCAACTGTTCCAAGGCAAAAGGTGAACGATCTTGCTGTAAATTTTCAATAATCTCTTCCACAGTTTTGGCTGAAAAACACCTATAAAAAAGCAAATGCTTGATTTCACCAATGTGCAATTTCCTATTTCTAAACTGTAAACAAATTTGAACACAGGCTTCCCTCAGCCCCATTTCAATAATGAAGAATTTTCTAACTTATTTTACAGAATAATGAAAGAGAATATTACTTCCCTGGGTAAGGATGTTTGTAGTCTACATTTAGTGTAAAATAAATCCTAAATCTTTTCTCTTGCATTTTTACATGGATGATGCTAAAAAAAATCTCAACTGTGGGAAAACATGCTTCTAAAAGGAAGAGATGGAGCTATTTATTTTCTAACAGTTTTCTTGCTCTTCCTTCCTTAGCTGCTCTGTCTTCCTAAGTCACTGCACACATTCACCTTTAGAGAAGATGACTTTGCGAAGACAGAAGATACGTTAGCTCTATCATTACTTTTGCATTAAAAAGAATTAGCAAGGAAGATTACCTAAGCATAAGTTACTTTCAAAGTTAAGTGAAAATAAAAGCACTATGCTACCTGATTCTCAGAATTCGATGCATTATCAAGCACAATTACAACTTTACCAAATTCAATTTAATGTGGTCTTTCCAAAAGAACAGATATAATTGAGATCTCTTTTAAAGTACCTGTTTATTTTGTCCATATGTTCTGCGAGTATAAAAGGTTTGTCTCGATCAATCTTGGACTGTTTGAAAAGAAATAATTTGAAGTAACTCAAATCTTTTTAAAATTCTTAAAACTTCTCACGTGATTGTTGGGAGCAATGCTGCATAATTTTAGGGAAAAATCATTTGGTTAGCTTAGTTCTCCTGCCTACAGCCCAGCTATGGAATTCCGAGACATAATTCCATTTTGGCCTCAGGTCACAACTGAGACCTCAATGATCCGGTGGTGCTGTGATTCTCCAGAACAAGAAACATCCTGGGAGCTGAAAACATCCTGGGAGGAACAAACATCTACTCAGTTCCTCATTGTTCTTGGACTGTTAGCATCTTGTTTACCCAGATGTACTGAACTCTCTGCAAGTCATTTGTTACATTTGTTTCTCCCGATGTACTGAATAAAACGTGTGGTAAGCTGGGGGCTTTCGTCTTTGCAGCCCAGAGCAGCACTGATCAGACCCAAAGCTCAAGCTTCTTCTCAGTCTCATTTTTCTACCTTTCCTGTAATTCGCCGTGTACTGCCATGGCTCGCAGGAGACTAGGACTTAACTGCAGAGGTTCTAGGACTGCGTCTCCTTTCCCTGTTCCCTACTCGTAATGATACACTTTGTGACAGATTATGACTTTCACTCAAATTACATCTAAGAGTCTCATAAGTAACGACCCCCAGAGAGCATGTACGCCACACTAGCTCCTCAGTGTCAGAGGCAAAAAGTGTTCCTGTATTTTTATGTATGTCATGAGGATCTAAATCCACCTATGAATCTCGGGAGTGCAGGACCCTGAGAGCTCATCCTGCCAAGTTTCCATCTAACCAAGAAATTCCCATTACCTCCTGGTGACTGCCAGTTCTGACCTGCAGGCAGAGGAAGGTGTTTGACAGCGCCAGTCATCAGCTCTTGCTGTTCAGTCCCCTCGTCTTTGTATTTCCAGTTACTCTGTTTCTCCTTAATGATTCAGCGCACAGCACAATGCTGTGAGCCTCATAATCCAGGTGTTGCCAAGGTCATTCCTAAAGTGAGGCCCACACATCACAGCTGCAGGTGGGGCTGGGTCACAGCTGAGCACAAGGAAAGGCAACAGGGCTCACAGGCCATGCTCGTTTTGAATACAATTTTGCAAACAGGACACCACTAGTTAGTGCTGACCCATGCCCATTACTCAGTTACTTATTCCAAGCTCCAATCAACTAAATTTGAAACAAATCTGTGCCCTGGGCTGGGGATTTAGCTCAGTGGCACTGTGCCTGCCTTGCAAGCACACGGTCCTGAGTACAGTCCTGAGTTCGATCCCTAGTACTGGGGAAAAAAAAAATCTGTGGCTGAAGGCTACATTTCCTCCTATCCTCTACTACGAATTCGTCCTACACCTTGAGTACTTCATTCTCACTTATCTTTACTCAATTTCCCAAGTTACTATTAGACAGATCACTCTAAACTCAAAGGGCTAGGGGCCGGGAATTTAGCTCAATGGCTCTGCTGCCTGCCTCGCAAGCACAAGGTCCTGAGTTCAATCCCCGGTACCAAAAATAAACTCAAAGGGCTGTTTTTGCATCCGTATTCTTTTCCCTGACTTACTTTTCTTAGTTTTAAGTCAATTTGATCAAAATGCTGCCAACATTCTCATCCCAATCATTGAAAAAAAGAAGTCCAAAATGACCTCCCCAGACTGCTACTTACCATGGAACAGAACTCTGGGAAGGCCCTGCAGCCTCCACACCAAGGTCAGGGACCCCAATGCCCGACAGCCGCGGACAGGCCTCCCCAGCTACACCCAGAGCACTCAGGGCTCGCGGGCCCGGGTCCTGCTCTGGAGCCCTTCAGTTCTGAGTAACTTTTTGGTACTGTTTCTCTAAATATTTCTTTACCTCATCTTCTCTGTAATGAATTCTTACTAATTAAACTAGCACCTTGGTTTAGGAACTAATTCTTCCCATGTTTCTGAAATGTCCCCACAAGGTCAATGTTAAACCTAACCACTGAATTTGATTCAGTTCTCATCCAATTCAGTTTGCGACCAGAATTGTGGAAAGAATTCAGTTTGTGTACTGGATGGACCCCCATATATTCCATCACATTATCCTTTTTTCCCCTTTTGAGTTTCTCAACTGTCAATTTTAATCACTCTGCCGTGGCTTTTTCCCATTTTTGCTAGCATTTTATACTCTTATTCTCATTATAACGTGGTGTTCCTTAGGTTGGTGAGTCATTTTCTCTCATCCGAAGAGAACAATTGTAAGTTTTTGCAGGTGTTTTGTTTTTTAAAGTTTCCTCTCTTCTCTGCACTGTCTGCTATCTTTTATTGCCTTGTTTGTTTTGCCCCAGCAACACTTGTTTCTATGCGCAGGACAGAAAGCTTTCTGTGTAGTGTCAACTCACAGGACTATGAATGATGTGATGCTTGTGAGATCACCAAACACCAATGTGTCTGTCATTAAGGGGCTATGACTGTCAGCATCTACAGGGCTTCTTTTCCTTCCACTGCTCAGGCGTCAGTGGTCCACACTGGCTCTGCAAGCCAACTGGTCAGAGGGCTGTGGGTTTTCTTGTGGGGTACGCACCTCCTCTTTTCACTGAAGCACCTCACCAACCTGCCCTCGACCTGTCTGCTTTGGTCTCTAAAGAGCAAGTTTCTACTCTGCTGCTAGGCTAGGAGAAGACAGCCACTCTTGGTTTTATAGGATGAGGACTTTTGAACATTTAACCGCTGCTTATAAAAACTTAGAACACATTGTTTTTCTGCCCCTATCCACATTCTAGTCTTTCTTCTTTTTTCTGGCAGTGCTGGGGATCCAGGTCAGGGCTTGCACACACTAGGCAAATCTCTGCCGCTGAGTCACTCCCCAGTCCTGCATGCCAGTCTTCAGAGACAGCTGGCTCCTTTCGAAGGATCTAGAGCAGAGTCCACTCGCCTCTTGCCCACGCTGCCCACACTGAAGAACGACTTTGGCATTCTCAGGTCTGTTAGCTACCCTGACCCTTCTCCTCCTGCTCTAAGCTCCAAAATCCTGACAACTCACACCTGCCGCTGTCTCCTCTTGTGTTCTATTTGACTTTGTGGATTTATGCCTTTTTATTCCCGTATTACAATTTTAGTTTCACAAAGAAGTGTGAATTCATTATCATGATGTGCAACTAGATTTTGTGTGTTTTGATAGTCTTGGCTTTTATAAGAAAATTTAAGTTAGATAACATAAGTAAGGAATGAAACACTGCTACATATGTTATTATTAAAGATAGGGATGCGTTTCACTTAGCATCTCTACAGTGTGGCATGGGCCCCTGCAGCAGAAATGCCACACTGCAGGGTGAAAGCCTTGGCAAGGGCCGACCACAAGGCCCTGTGCCGAAGCTCACCATCGGCAACAAGACAAAATGACCCTAAGATTTGCCAACAGCTCACTTTTTCCACAGGCATAGAACCCTGAGGGAGAACACACAGGATTACCTCTGTATGGTAGGTTCCTAGGACTTCTGCAATGTTTTCTTTGGAAGGAGATTTCAAGGCTGACAAATCTTCCTCTAACATGCCCAACTAAAGGAAGGGAAAAAGGAAAACAGATTAGAAATCCAGAGAAAAACAAAAAACTACTAAATAATCTCATTCTTTCCTAGAATCCTTGCCTCAAAATGCGGGTGCTCTCTCTCCAGCTTGAGCCCAACACATATGCAATGAGTACAATGCACACCCAGGCCTGTACACCCAATGCTGCTTCAGGAAGGATGGTCAGAGATCGCAGGAACTAAGGAGCACCCCAAATCCAGTCCAAATCACTTCTGGTCCCAAGCATTTCAGATAAAAGATACTGACCCTGCATTGCAACCAAAGGTCTGATTTACAGTGGCACCTCGGCTAAAAAATTGTGAACAATCTGGTTCACAAACAAAAGCATTTGGGAAATTTTGTTTTTGTCTGCAAACTCTACATCAGGTGACAAACATGACCGTGGCCATCTTTTCCAAAACCATGGAACAAATTAAGTTTGTGAACCGAGGTACGACCTACATTAATTTTAAGTAAGCTCGCCACACATTAGATGCTACTATAGTCACCACCGCACAGCTCTGTAATAACAGTCCCACCCCCTCTGCCACCTAAGCCCCATGATCTGTCCTACAGCCAAGGGGACTTCGTGCTATTTCCTTGCCACTGTGGTTTATTTATTCGACTTGGAGTGCTTTTTCCTCACAGTATTCATCGTAATTGCCAGCTGAACTGCAACCTTGAGAAAAAAGCTTTAGTCTTTCCTTCTTTTTGAAATTAATTTTATTGGTACATTTTAGGTATACAATATAATGACATTCATCATGGGGAATGTGCACCTTTATGTAATCTATCTTGGTTATTTTTTCCCCTTCCCCTCCCCTCCCTTTAACTCCTCCATCCCTCCCTATTTAGACTTTGTTTCCATTTTTTTTCATTTTCTCATGTAAATTCCATTCCCTTCTTTCCTTTCCCCTACCCTTCCCACTTTCCCTTCCCCTTTGCCCCTGTAGTCCTTTCTTACAGGAAGCTCTTCCTCCTTCCAATCCTGAGTACTTTCTTTGCACATATCCTGTTTCTACACTCATCACACTGTACTCTGCCAGGTGAGACAGAGGGTGATTTACCTTCTGTGCCCACCTCCAATCCATCCCTCAATGCGTATTACTCATTTCTGTGTCTCCTATAGGCCCTGTGAATGGCAGTTCATCTGCTGCAAGTGACAAAGGTGCAAGGTGCCAAAGGGGGCAAAAGACTACACATCCACTTTCTCTTCTACTCTTAACTAAATTCCACTATCGTCAAGGGTGGCCCTGCCTGAATGGGCACCAGAGACCCCGTGCAGACTTCTCAGTTCAGCTCAGGGAAGGAAGGGACAGTGCCTACTCCATGTGTCTGAGGACACCCACAACGTGAGACAGACCTGAAGCTTCAACTTGTGACACTGGACAGGGACCACCTCCGATTTCCCGTATGAAGTACATTTTTCAGAATCCATTAACAGTGTGAGAAACAAGACCAAGGGCAACTAACATAAAAACTTTCACAGCTATTTTATAAACTTTGAAGAGAATTCTCTTAGCAGCCAATCAGTACATTTTTGTTATCCAGCTGTTTTACTTTGCTGGTTGGTAGGCCAGAGAGGTTGTGTGAGATTAAAGATTTATGATTTGTAAACCATCCTTAGGGATTTGTAGAATAGTCTCAAGGTCCAGTGGCCCAAACAGAAGAACTTTAGAAAGTGGCACATGGATACAGTAGTTCATCCTGTGTAATGTAAGTGATTCAAAGAAAAATCTGTCACCTCTTTGAAAAAAAAAAAGCATACACACACTATGTGCTGAATTTAAAAATATTAAGTTAAAATTTGAATGTTACCATATGAAAGTTCCTGAGCTGAGTATGTAGCATAAATTTTCTAATTTAATTTTGTAATAGTCCTTCCATTCTCCTGAAACATCCTCCTCTCAAGCTGAGGTACCCTTCAAAGATCACGTGCTTCCTGGGGAGAGGGCTTCACCCCACAATTCCAAGGACAGAGCACACACTCAGTGCAGTCTGGCCAGCTGTGTAACCCACCCTCCCATGTGGCTCGGAGTGAGAGAAGCAATTTAGTCACAGTGAGCTAAGCCAGCCAAAACAGAGTAAGTCCTAGGTCTCTTGCTGAGAATTCTGGGGAGAAAACCATCTCAAACTGGTTTTTTGTTACATATAACACAAAGAATTTTCAACTATTATGCTAATATTGTCAACTTCATTACAGATGGGAATATTGAGCAGCTAAATTCAAGCTAGGATTTAAACTCTGGCTATTTGTACACTCTGTGCTATACTCTCCTGTGCTAAGAAAATTGGCCATATTGTTAAAAAAACAAAACAAAAACAGAGCATTGTGTAGTGGTGCACGGCTGAATCCCAGCACTTGAGAGGCTGAGGCAGGAGGATGGCCATGAATTCCAGGCCAGCCTGAACTACAGTGACACCGTCTCAAGAAACAACAACAACAAAAGACAAAGATAAGTAACATGTATCCATTCAGCAGATATGGTTTAGAAAAGTCCTAAGACCATATTTTACAAATGCAATTATTCTAAACATATCCACAAGGAAACTCACAATCAAGAGAATCTTTCAAAAATCCATTTATTAAACCCTACAGAAAATTGGAATAGATGGTCTCTACCTCAATCTGATAAAAGCCATCTACAGCCAATATCATACTAAATGGTCAAAAACTGAAATCCTTCACACTAAAATCAGGAACAAGACAAGGATGTCCACTATCACCACTCCTGTTC